AGGGGTTGCAGCACATGAAGTTTCTGTTTTTGGGGCCCTAACACATTTTTCCCTTAAAACAATGACCTCTACATATCACGCTATAGTCAAATTCTCCAAGAATCTGCACAACTAAGTTGCCTCTAGTGCTATCTTGTAAATCACTACATATTCCGTTTCAAGTGAAAAAAGACTATACGACACTGCTTCTAAGGACATAAAATGACCCCGTCATTAATAAGAAGATATAACTGGACATCAACACTCTCCCATTAAGATTGTAAGCCCAGTCAACATCTGAATATCTCTGTAGGCCAGAGTCCGTTCTGTTTTAGCATAATACATGAAGTGCAATTCAAATCAAATATATGAGGGTCCTAAATTAATGCCCACTCTTCAGTTCTACTATAAAGGATGTGTCGATTATTGTATACATACAAGACTATCGATTATACTCCTTAATGAAATTCGTAGAATTAGCTTTTTCTCTGCTTTCATGTCAGGACATTGCTCTATACTTAGAGCCTGACTCTTAGCAATTGGAGTCCTAGTGGTCTCCATGCTGCACTCAGTCAACAATATGCCATCTACATACGATGATAGGATCTTAAACTTCTATCAGCTTAGGATACATCTGGTAACCATGACCCAGCACGGTCCAATAGGATAAAAAATACTACACTGGAAAAATATTTCAAGTCATATGTAGGATCCTTTAACTTGTACACCTTTTGCTCAAGTCACTCGGCTATGAAACATAAAGATTGATCCACATGGATTTCTTTCCAGTTCTCCCTACATAAAAGCTCTATCGATGTCCATTTGGACTAGTTCAAGATCTATTTGCGCTATGAGAGTTAATATCATGCGAATAGTATCGATTTTCAATACCATATAAAACGTCTCTTTCGGTAGTCCACCTTACTACTTGGTTACACTTTCATCATCAAGTGTGGTCTGCATCACTTGAATGTGTTGTCTTGCGTGACCTTGAAAACCTATTTATTTTCAGTTGCCCTATAATCAGTTGGAAGATTCACTAAGTCTTAGACTTGATTCTTCCTCATGAACTTAAGCTCCTCATCTATTGCTGATTTCCACTCTTTTGCTATAGACCCAGAAATCGTGTCCTACATGACTTGGATTCCGCAACAGCATGCGATGCTACCATGAATATTTTCCCATCAATCTCAAAGTATCATTTTGGTACTACTACATGGAATGATCTCAGAGGCTGTTGAAATTATGTAGATGGCTACAAGTCATCTAAAAATATCTCGCTCCTACTGTTTCCAGCTAGTAAGGGAACAAATTTCTTTCAATTGCTGGATCTGTGATAGTCTTCTCGATCTCGTATTAACCCAAATCTTGACCTATTTCTTCTTTATGCAAGTAATCCTCGAGGAAATCAATATGCCATAACTCTCTAGGCCATAGTCTCATCATATTGCTTACATGTAAACATAACCGCAGAGTATCTAAAATAGTGTATGTAAATACACTTCAACATTCTAGGATCTGAACTTCTCATCCAATGAAAAGTAGTATATGAAAGCAACACTCCTACATAGACATAATGATCTAACAACGACTGTTAGCCATCCATTACTCATAAGGTGTAAACTGAATTGATTTCGGAAGTACATGGTTCAAAGTATATGCCGTTATCAATAGCACATTTCCCCAAAACCGAATGGGTAGCTACTTTGACCCATATATAGATAGTTATATTCCTTATTTTTGCAATACCATTTGTTACAGAATATAGGGTATTGTCAACTGTCTAATTTTTCTCTTCTCGTGACGTAGTTTCCTGAACTAGCTAGATAGATACTCTTATGGTTAGTATGCAAAGGGCTATTACTTTTGCTTAATTGATTATCCACCTTGTTGATTTAGCTCTTGAAATAAAACCAATTGCTCAACTAGGCGCGAGATCAGATACACATGATCGAATACATAATTTCTCTTTAACCATGAGGAATTAAGGCCCTCCACTTTGTACCTTCATAAATACTAGTCTGCATCTATCAGAGTGAACTAATTGCAACTGAGATACTCCCAGCCTTTCCAAGCAGCTTCTCAGTGATTTTATCTACAAGACTATACTCATAGATGGACAGATATATCTTGGTATACATACCAAGGAGGTCACCCTTGCCGAGCATACATGTGTCCTCTAATATGACTTAGTCTACTATACCATATATCAAATCTAATCTTAATTCAAAGTAGAAGATAACTCAGTTATCTAGTAATGAACCACATTCTAAAATCAACTAAGCTATCAACTTGACGTTTTATAAGCAAAGAAATCCTGAAGCAAATCTAAGTTACCCACAAATAGGAAACTAAAAAAAAAAAATGAATCTGACAAGCCTAATTATCGAAAGATAGATTCCTCCACATTGTGGGAGCGTATAAAATACCCTACAAGATCTATTTATTCCCTAAACTCAACAGAAACCTACATGCACCGGTGCCCAACACTTTTCTGTAGTCGCATCTAGATCTTTTTGCTCCCATTTGGAGTCTTCTAAAATTCTATGAACCCATCTCTACCCTATAGAAGTGGTTAACGAGTTTTGAGTTTTCTCGATTACGCACCCTCAAGCGTGAAATAATCGGCTTGTTTGCAATCAAATCAACTGATCATGCTCTTATCAATTGGTATATTCACCTTTTATTTGGCTTTTTTTTATTTCAAAACCTATTCCGAAAATCTTTGTGTACCCATTGCAATGAGGCTCTCAACCTTGTACCTCGAGTATTCAGCTTCGAAAACCGAAGTAGATACTTTTGTCTTGAGCATGCCCTAGTGTTTAGACCCTGACTTCATTTTTATTTGCACGTCCTCAAAAGTTATCGCATCTGCGACGTACAACAAAACTAACAAATATCTTTCATGGAGTTATATAAAGCCCTGATAATTACTCGGATTTGCCGCTGCTAGCTTGATACAATACTAGCTATCTCATGATCATTGATTATAGATGTTATCATCTGAAGGTGAATTTGATGTACTGCCTAGCAGTCATCTCATTTGAATCCAACATAATAATAAGAACTCATATCCTTGTTGACGAGACATATCAGAATCTCGCATTAAGAGAATCTTGGAAACTCTTTGCATTTGAAGTATCCTCGTACTCATTAAGATCGCTTCTCTTTGAAGTCCATCCTAGTGGACCACTTGAACGATGTTTTCGCTTCCAAATCTTGTACTGACCGGCCTCAAAACTTTTGAGTCCAAGTTGAACCCAGTTTTGACTTGGGCATTACAACCTCAATACTCACCAAATTCTCCTGCTCTTAGGGAGAAAATGGACCTTTCGTCAAAAATATCTCAACTACTCAGTCACAGACTGATGTCAGAATAACTGTTTTGGTACGTTATTTCTAAGAGAAAGATTATGTCACTTTAATTATGGATATATTAAGTTTATTAACATTTACGTGGAGTAGTGTTCTTCATTGATGAACATTCCATCTCATCAAACATTTCATACCAATAATAAAATTACAAACCAAACAAAGAGAAGGCGTAGGACCCCAATCACGGTGTTTAAATATATAATTTTTAAATCATTATCAAATTTTTAAATGAAATATTAGAGTTTTTGGAGATTTGACTTAATTGGATAGTGTGTCATCTCTACCCGAAATCTCCCACTTGAAATTATTTGTTTATAAGATTTAGTATGCTTCTGAACATGCGGCATGACAAACATAAACAAACAATTTCATTTTTTTTATATTTATCTATTGATTTATATTGTCAAATTTATTAGGGTTTTTCATTTCACGTAAAATTGGTACCTGCCCCAGGCGCTCCTAAGGAACAACTACTTATCAAAATCTTTAAGATTTTATTAGGATTCTATAAATTAATTTTCTGGTGTATAAAAATAACTTCTTTGAACTTCCAATGTTCAAAAAATTATTTTTGTAAAATCTCAAAAACTCATTATTATGAAATCTAGTGAGCCTCATATCAGGAATTTCTAAAGCTTCTGAAGATAAATAATAAAAATATTTTCTAAAATTTTCCTAGAAATGTTTAGATACTTTTACTATTTTTAAAATAATTTTTTGATTTAAGAGATAATTTATCAACATAATTTTTGAATTTTAAAAAGAAACTAAAAAATAAAATCCAAAATACTATTATGCCCATAGGGTTTCAGAAACCATAAAGGTTTGTATCTGAGGGGTTGGCGGCGGCAACCTCTAACAGTGCTCCCCTGTCACCCCCTAAACCCAACCTAGGCCCCCACCATTGATGGCGCTCATTGCAGTCGGCATGAACGACACTTGCTATCGTCGCGGTGGGGAGCAACGCCTAACACTATTCACAAACAACGTTGGGCGTCGTAGGTGGGTTGAGCCGATGGCGTCTGACTCCATCGACCCTCGACACCCTGTGCCAGTGACCGGAGAACCTGCTGCTCTGGCAGTGGGTTCAATTATGGGTTATTCTTTTAACTGTTTTTCTTAAATACACCGCCACATACCTGTTCTTCTTCAAACAATGGTCAGAGCGCAATCACATCATTAGAATGGCGAAAAGCACCCGCTTATCATCCTGCAACTACTGCGTAAATCATAGAATTGAGAAGAGGAAGCAGATAACGGTTGTAGTATTTTAAATATCTCACATATTCTCTATATATCTCTGCATATATATTTGTAAGAAAGAGAAACTCCTTAACCTTAGAAACTAGGCTCTAATAGAGCTAAATCTCCTCTCATGACCTACCCACTCAATTTGGCTGGGCCGCCCATATGTGCTAACAATTTGAACATAAACTATTATACAACAAGTTATTCTAATTGAAGGCGAGTATTTGTAAAGACATGACAGAGAAACAATCAAAAGAATACCAAAAATGACGCTTTTGAAATGCTATTATTTCATACGAAGATGGTCATATTTTGTACTTGAACTGCACTTACATTTTTATGAACTCAGCTAAACTTTTGATGCTTTTTGATTCCTAATTATTGGCCAATAAATGCAGAGACCATTCTAGAGGAGAATACCTACATCTTAGTTTCTAAAACCCTGGATTTAGATGAATACAACAAGCAGATTGAGGAGCTGGAACATGAGATCCAGTTTCTACAGAATTCTCTAAATAAAATGAAGGTATGTTTTTCATCCTTCATCAAGTTTTTCGTCCAATTAGTTTTTCCTATATAATTCTTATATTGTTCTGATTATCTTTTTTATGTCATCAAATTCTATTTGGTTTCTTTAGTTATGGAAACAAATTGATATCATCATGTTTTGACTATATTGTAGTGGGAATTTACCTTTTCTATTACTAAAAATATGTCCTTGGTTATGTATGAAGCAGTGTATTAGTTTTGCAGTATTTGTAATTATCCAACTTCTGATCGTTGTACGCATAGACATGGCCACTGATAGGATTGGGGACATGCTTGTTGAGATGTAGAACCCTGGGTTGAGTTCCGCGAACATTAGCATATATTAGGGTTATTCATTATTTGTAATTTTATTCGAATAATTTTTCTTGCATTGTGTTCTTACTTCTTACCATACATGTATGACCTTATGAGAGTTTTTGATCAAACCTGTAAGTGATTGATGTTCATCAATTCTCTAAGATATGACGTAACTGATTATGTTTTGCAGACATCGGCAGGTAGCTCTTCAGATTCTGAAACAGTGGTTGCAGCGCTGGAACAAGAGGTCTCTCCCTCCCTCCCTGTTTTGTTCATGTGTGTTTGTGTATTGGGTAGGCAACTAGGCTGGTGGCTATATATGAAAACATTTTACTATGCTGGTGGCTACTCATGAAAACATTTTTGTGATTTTTGCGTGATCACAAACATTGCACATATTATGAGTAAGTAGTATCAACCCCGCGCTTTGAGCAAGCCATATTAATCAACTTCTACTTCTAGATGCCCAGTTAGATAGAAGTAGATAGCTCGCCATGAGGTTATCTCCTTTGACTTCATGCAAGCAAAATTGCACTCAGAATTATTTAAAATATTAATGTTAGAAGCTATTATTATGTGTACAGCATTGTAATGTACAGTCATTCTTCTTCTTATTTACTTTTTTTAATCTTTTTTTAACTTCAATTTTCTTTTCTCTTATTTCCTGCCACCTGCACCCACCTATTATTATGCCCCCTCCCTCAGTTCAACCTCTGCTATGTTTAAAAAAAAATCTTCCGAATAGCAGCATCTTAGCCAAAGTTGTTGACTGTAGTTTGGTGATAAGAAGTGATCATTTAGGTGGCTAACCACGTCATCTTTTATATACCTTGTGTCTCAGATGATTGTAATCCTCATTGTATTCATTCACTAGCCTATAATTAGGGTGAAGCATAAAGAGTCCTGCACTTCATGCTCAAACTTCTATGGTTTACATGACTTAGAACTATTAATGTAGGCCTTGAACGATATGCTAAATAAAGGAGTTATAGTTAGTCCGTTATCCCTTAATGTGTGTGATTTAGAGAACCCAAACATACTTTATCTTTATATCTCTAGTTGCGGTATAATAATTATAGCTTGGAATGCTATGAAAAGGGAAAGACGTCTACATTGGCCATCAACCAAAAAAATGTTGCATAGATTGAGAATAAGTAGTACCAATCCAGAACTTTGAGCAAACCATATTAAGCAACTTCTACTTCTAGATGCCTAGTTAGACAGAAGCAAATAGCTCGCCGTTAGGTTATCTCTATTGACTTCATGCAAGCAAAACTACTCTTAGAAGTATTTAAAATATGATGTTAGAAGCTATTATTATGTGTAACACACATAATCTGCAATCATTCTTCTTCTTATTTCCTTTTTTTTAATCTAGTTTATCTTTTACTTCATTTTTCTTCTCTCTTCTTTCTTGCTAGCTGCACCCACCTATTATGACCCCCTCCCTCAATTCAGCCTCCATTAACTTAAAAAGAAAAAAAATCTTTCAAATAGTAGCATCTTAGCCAAAGTTGTTGACTGTAGTTTGGTGATAAAAAGTGATCGCTTAGGTGACTAACCACCTCATCTTTTGTGTACCTTGTGTCTCTGATGACACCATACAACTCGTAGAAATTTCTACAGAGATATTGTAATCCTCATTGTAAGCTATCCATCTATGAAGCACGGACACGCATAACATGAAGTCGTGTCGTGTCGTGTCCGTGTCGAACACACGTATCCTATGTATTTTTTAGGATTTGTCTCGTGTCGGCGTGTCGGATGGCCGTGTCGGATCCGTGTCCGTGCTACATAGCTATCCATTAGCCTATAATTAGGGTGAAGCGTGTAGAGTCCTACACTTCATACTCAAACTTCTATGATTTACATGTCTTGGAACTATTTATATAGGTCTTGAACGACATATGCTAAATAACGGACTTACAGTTAGCCCATTATCCCTTAAATTTATTTTCAGCTTAGTCAACAACAACAACAATAAATCCTTTATCCTAACTGTTTGGAGTCGTCTATATTCCATTCTATTATGGGTCATCTCCTCTATTGAGCTAACCATAATTATATCTTTCTTAATTAGTTCCAACCAAGTCCTTCTAGGTCTAACTTTAGATCTCTTTGCTCCATTAACTATAATATTATCACTTCTACTAACCGGTGCACTAAGAGGTCTACGTTGTACATTGCCATACCACTTTAATAGATTCTCTCTCATTTTATCCTCTATAGGAGTAATATCTAATTTACAAAAGATGCACTCATTTATTATCTTATGTTTTAGTGTATACCCACAAGACCATCTCAACATTCTCATTTCTGCTACACTCATTTTTTGCACATATTTTTAAATTGCCTAACAGTTTGATCCGTAAAGCATTGTTGGTATTATAACTCTTATAGAATTTACTTTTAAGTCTAACTGATATTCTACGATCACACAAGATTCCCAAAGCATCCTCCATTTTAACATCCCGATTTAATTATATTGACAACATCATCCTCAATCTCACCATCATACCAAATGATTGATCCTAAATAGCAAAATTGATTGCTTTTAGATATTTCTTGGCCATTACTATGTACTATAGACTCTTTTCTCCTTCTAGTTTACTAAAAATGCATTCCATGTATTCAGTTTTTGTTCTACTAATTCTAAAACATTTAGTTTCAAGAGTTGTCTCCACTTTTCTACTTTAAAAATTATGCTTATTCTATTCTCGTCAATTAATATTATATCATCAGCAACTAACATATAAAATGGTACTTCATCCTGAATATGTCTAGTAAGCTAGTCCATAACTAAAGCAAAAAGACAAGGGCTTCAGGCTGACCCTTAATGTAAACCTATGATTATAGGAAATGACTTAGTCTCTTCTTTATTAGTTCTTAGTTTAGTTGTTACTTTATCATACATATCTTTAATTACATCAATAGATATACTAGATACGTATTCATTTTCTAAAATCCGCCATATTACCTCTTAAGCACTCTATCATAAGTTTTTTCTAGGTCAATGAAAATGATATGTAGATCCTTTTTTTCTTTATGTTTCTCCATCAACCGTCTCAAAATATGTATAGGTTTCATAATTGACCTCCCGAGCATAAAATCAAATTGGTTTTCAGATACACTTGTCTCTTTTCTTAGTCTTTGCTCAATTATCCTCTCCCAAAGTTTTATAATATGACTCATGAGTTTAATACCATGATAGTTTGAACAACTTTGTATTTCTCTTTTATTCTTATAAATCGGTATCAATGTACTAATTCTCCACTCATCGGGCATTCTCGTTGTCTCAATAATCTTATTAAATAATTTGATCAACAATCCTAATCCTATATCTCCAAGACATTTCTAAACTTCAATAGGGAATTATCCGGTCCTACGGCTCTTCTATTTTTTATTTCCTTTAGAGCATCTTTAACCTCACTGATCTTAATTTTTAGAAAATAACTATAGTTTATATCATTCACTATATGGTCAAATGCTCTATGTTGCTCACCTTTTTTGTTATCATTAAATAATTTATGAAAGTAGCTCCTCTGCCTTTCTTTTATTTCCTCATTGTTTGCTAAAACTCTTCAATCTTTAATCTTAATACACCTAATTTTACCCAAGTCATTACTTTTCCTTTTTTCATCTTAGCATATATATATATATAGAAATATGGAGAAACTTGGTACCAAGTTTTTCCATTGAACTTGATAGTGAGGTGGTCAAATCCCCACCCTACATCACGCCTCGAAGAGAGAGCCTCACCTACTTTAAAAAATAGGCTCCATCTTCGAGGCGTGATGTAGGAGGGTGATTTGGCTACCTCACTACCAAGTTCAATGAAAGAACTTGGTACCAAGTTTCTTCATATTTCTCATATATATATACTCCTTAAGATTCCAACTTAAATTTTCATAAGCTTTGTATTTAATATCACTAAACGCTCTTTTTGCTTCTTTCCTTACTAACTTATATTTCTCAAAGTTTTCCTTGCTCACACACTTCTGCCAATATTTATATAATATTTTCTTCTCTTTAATCATTTTTTGTAGTTCTTTATTCCATCACCAACTCTCCTTACTATCTAATCTACAACCCTTAGATTCTCCTAGAATATCCTTAGCCACCTTCTTAACACAAGAGGACATACTATTCCACATATTATTAGTCTCATTATTTATATTCCATGTATCTTCTTTCATCATCTTATTCTTAAAAAGTACTAAGTTTTCTCTTTTTAAGTTCCACCATTTAGTTCTTAATCTTTTGTTCATATTAGTTCGCCTACTCCACTTTTTAATAGAAAAGTCTAATATCATCAACCTATGTTGTGAAGTTAAATTCTCTCCGGATATAATTTTACAACTTTGTATATTAACCTATCCACCCTTCTTGTATGAAAAAAGTCTATTCAACTACTATTAGATTCACTTTAAAGGTTATCAAGTGTTCATCCCTTTTTATAAATTGTGTATTTGCTGTTATCAAATCATACGATGTTGCAAACTCCAAAATTGATTCTCGCATATTGTTCTTAATTCCATACCCAAACCCTCCATGTATTCTCTCATGTCCATTATTATGCTTGCCAACATGCTCATTAGGGTCTTCTTCTATAAATAATTTCTCTCCTAGTAGAATTCCTTGAATCAATTTATCTAAGTTATCCCGAAAATCCCTTTTAGTATTCTCGAGCAACCCTACTTGTGGAGTGTAAGCACTAACAATATTAATAAAAATAATTTTTATTAATAGTATTCCATCTCCTAGTCTTTTTACATCTACGACACTATCTTTTATTATGTTATCTACAGCTACTCCTACTCAATTTCTATTCTTTTTTTTTCTGTGTACCAAAGTTTATATCCATTCTTTTCAATTTCTTGTAGATTTTTCACTTATCCATTTACTTTCCTGTAAATAAATTATACTCATCTTTCTTCTAAAAATGATATCTACTAATTCTATTGTCTTTCCTGTATGTGTACCTATATTTCAAGTAGCTAACCTAATTTTCTTCTCTTGTAAAAGTCTCCTATCATGCCATCTCTTATGACGCTCTAGTCTAAGCCTAATACTATTTGACAACCTATTAGAGGATTGTAATGTCTTAGAACATCCTTGCTTATTTGTCATTACACCGGGGTAGTATCATCAATGTAACGCACCGCTTCTGGGGAATGTCCTAGCAAACCACCATTGGTTACTTATCATTGCATTGGGGTGGCATCGATGCAACACATTGCGGTGGGGATATCTTAACGAATATTGTATAGGATTCATGTCATGTGGATCCGACTATGTTTTATGCTGGCTGTCGGCTATTTAACGCAACCCTCCTCCTTTATCCTGGCTTAGGATAGACAGTGCTGACAATAGAATAAAACATAGCACAGACGGTGTTTTTTAGCTTGGTGCAAGTAGATCTAATGTTTATGGTTCAAAGAACCCACACATACTTCATCTCTATACCTCTAGTTGAGGTATAGGAATTATAGCTTGGAAATGCATTGAAAAGGTGCACACAGACAAAAGCAAATAGCAGCATCTTAGCCAAAGTTGTTGACTATAGTTTGGTGATAATAAGTGATTGCTTAGGCGGCTAACCACTTCATATCTTGTGTACCTAGTGTCTCAAATGACAACATAGCACTCGTGGAAAATTCTACAGAGATATTGTAATCCTCATTGTATCTATCCACTACCCTATAATTAGAGTAAAAGATATAAGTCTTGAATGACTTGCTAAACAAAGAACTTGCAGTTAGTCCGTCATCCCTTAATTTTTTTTCAGCTTGGTGCAAGTAGATCTAATGTCTCTAATTCAAAGAACCCATACATACTTTATCTCCATGTCTCTAGTTGTGGTATAGTAATTATAGCTTGGAAATGCATTGAAAAGGGAAAGTGGTCTGCATTGGCCATCAACCAAAACAAACATTGCACAGATTGAGAATAAGTAATATCAACCTAGAGCTTTGAGCAAGTCATATTAATCAACTTCTACTTCTAGATGCCCAGTTAGATAGAAGCAGACAGCTTGCCATGAGGTTATCTCCTTTGACTTCATGCAAGCAAAACTGCGCTTAGAAGTATTTAAAATATAATGTTAGAAGCTATTATTATGTGTAACACAATTAATCTGTAGTCATTCTTCTTATTTGCCTTTTTTTATCTTTTTTCTTTTACTTCAATTCTTCTCTCTTCTTTCCTACCACCTGCACCCACCTATTATGCCCCCACTTCAATTCAGCCTCTGCTAACATTAAAAAAAATCTTCTAAATAGTAGCATCTTAGCCAAAGTTGTTGACTGTAGTTTGGTGATAAGAAGTGATCAGTTAGGAAGCTAACAACCTGATGCAGGATAATTATAAATCATCTATCAAAAAATTTTAAGATCTATTAGAACAATTATAATTTTAGTAATATTTGATTTGGTTCCGTGTAGTCTTTTATTTTAGTTAGGATTTCTTTAGGACTTGATCTTGAGATCTCTTTCTACTTTAGTTAGGATTTTATTTGATTCCATCTTTTAGTTTTGCTAGGTTTTGATTTGGTTTGGATTTTAGTTTGCTTTCTAAGCTGCTTAGATGGTCTCTTTTTCTATAAATAAGAGAGGTAATCTTTCATGGGGAATAGACATTGATGAATAAAAACTTGAGTTTGATAATTCTCTCTTGAGCGTGTAAGGTATTCTTTGGCGTGTGATTTGTCACTTTGGGGTGTGATGCCCCTAAGTGTGAGGCGTAGTTATATCTAAATTCTTCACTTTAAATCTTATCCATACTCTTAACTTTCTCCCATAATCTTACTCCTCGAAAAGATCCCCACAAACAAACAAACAAAAATCAACAAGAGGGCGAAAGATTTTTGTTCACGGATGAACAATAAACCCACTAATTGTTTGTATGGTTGAACATCAATCCATCCACCACCTCCTCGAGATCTGCCACCACCTGCCTCCTCCGATGGTGTGTCCTTCATATCCAACTACGAACCCCAATAACCTCTGTTCGAGTATCGCCGTTGCCGAATCTCCTACACTCGACCCTCAATGAATAATGATCACTCCCCGCCAAGGCCTTATAATGCGGCTCTGGAAAGTTATCGACGTAAAAATCTATCTGCTCCTTTTAGATCTAGATCAGATTCGAGTACTCTCCAGAGTTCACAATATCCAGAACCTCGTACTATTCGATTGCATCCGAATCGGCGCTAAAGGCAACATATTCGAGAGCCTTGTTCTTTCGAAATAGAGTTCGGCCCGATCGGCATCAACTGGTATCTGGGCATGTTTAAGCAAATCCTCAGCCTTAGCATGTATAGGCCCATACATTGAGAAATTTTTTTTCCACTTGGCAAAGCTGCAAGAACTTAAAAAACAAGAACTAAAATTTGAAATAAATTTTGAGAAAGAAACAATATCACAATCTAAGCTTTCAAATAGAAGAAAAAACAAAGCAAAATACCAATCTTAGAGCCTGAGCCCGACCCTAAGCAGGAGAGACAATTTGAGGTCGAGCCAGAAGCTAACCAAAAATTGGAAATTGATTCAAAATCGGAGCATATACTAAAAACCTGAAGGAGAGCCCGTTCTCAAGCTTAAACTAGAAATTGAGCCAAATGTTGATCCAAAACTAATGCTCAATCAAGTCCAGAGCCCAAAATCAAGTCAAGCCTAGAACTCGAATTTTAAGATCAATATGTTGTGCAAATTGTTGGCTCAAACTAATCTTATTTTAAAGTTTGTTATTCCAGACCCTCCACTGCCAACTAAATATAAGAATTTACAACTCATATTGAAGATCCTATAACTCATGACGGAGTACTTTCAACCGGTCAAATTATTCATTACGCTCTCCCGTAATAAAACTCAAGGCCGAGTTTTCTCTAACAAAGGGAGATTTGATGCGAGATAATCATGGACCGTCTATTAAAACATTATAAAATCTATTAGAATAATTTTAATTTTAGTAATATTTTATTTGATTCCATGTAATCTTTTATTTTAGTTAGGATTTCTTTATGACTTGATTTTGAGATCTCTTTCTAGTTTAGTTAGGATTTTAGTTAATTGCAACTTTTAGTTTTGTTAGGTTTTGATTTCTTTAGGATTTTAATTTGTTTTCTTAACTATTTAGATACTTTTTTTCTCTAAATAAGAGATGTAATCCTCCATGAGAAATAGATATTGATGAATAAAAGATTGAGTTTGATAATTCTCCCTTGAGCATGTGAGGTGTTCTTTGGCATATGATTTGCCACTTTGAGGTGTGAAGCCCTTGGAGATGAGGCCCCTAGGTGTAAGACCTAGTTATATTTAAATTCTCCACTTTAAATCTTATCCATACTCCATCTTTCTCCCATAATCCTACTACTCAAAAAGATCCCCACAAACAAACAAACAAAAATCAACAAGGGGCAAAAAGTTTCTGTTCACGGATGAATAGTAAACTCATTTACTGTTTGCATGCATGAGCAGTAATTTTGCTACTATCCATCCGCCACCTCATCTAGATCCGACACCACCTGCCTCCTCTGATGATGCCGCAATGCTTTGATTCCAACTATGAACCCTGACAACAACCTCCGTTCAAGTATCGTCGTTGTCGAATCTCCTCCACTCGACCCCCAATGAATAATGATCACTCCCCGCCAAGGCCTTACAATGCGGCTCTAAAACATTATCGACGATTTCAAAATCTATCTGCTCATTTTAGATCCATATCAGATTCGGGTACCCGCCAGAGTTCACAATATCCAGAACCTCGTACTTTTCGATCGGATTTGGACTGGCGCCGAAGGCAACACTTTCTAGAGCCTTCTACTTTTGAAACAGAGCGCCTGCCCCGATCCGCATCACCACCTCATCTTTTGTGTACCATGTGTCTTTGATGGCACCATACCACTCGTAGAAATTTCTATAGAGATATTGTAATCCTCATTGTATTGTCTGCTGGCCTATAATTTGGGTGAAGCATAAAGATTCCTACGCTTCATGCTCAAACTTCTATGGTTTACATCTCTTGGAACTATTTATATAGGTCATGAACGACATGATAAATAAAGGACATACAATTAGCCCGTAATCCCTTAAATTTTTTTCAGCTTGGTACAAATACATCTAATGTGTGTGACTCATAGAACCATACATACTTTATCTCCATATCTCTAGTTGTGGTATATTAATTATAACTTGGAAATGCCATGAAAAGGGAACAGAGTCTGGCATTCGGCCCCACTCAACCAAAACTCCATGTAGGGCATTCTTGTGTCTTGTCTCATTGTGGGCAGTCAAAGATAAGTGGCTCTTCTATAGCCTGGTATTTTGAATACATGCATACTTGTTTATGTAATTTGGGTGCAAAGGCCTCTGAAGCACGGATGTGCTAGAATGTTAAAGTGTAGTGGGAAAAACAATGTATGCTACTTTGATACACATACTTACATGAGCCATGGACATACGTAATGTTCAGGTACGACTTCTATGGGCTGAATCAAGAAAGAATAACTTCAATTACCACATGTTAGAGTCTAAAGCAAATGAAGAGGAGAACAAAGTGAAAGAAGTAACTTCAGTAATAGTGAAGGTAAGCTCTGTTCTCGTCTAGATATTTCTTGAGCTCATCAAATCAGCAGTATTGATACTTATATTCTAGGAGTGCTTAGAGTAATCACTGATTGCAGGTCCTGGAATGATCCTGCCATGCATGTTTACACATTAAAGCTAACATGTAAAATGAAGTTACTAGATTCAGTCTTTACTTGCTTATCATAGAAATTATGCTTATGATCATTTGTAAAACATGGATATAATACAAGATGCAAATAAGACACAATATAGCTACTGTGATGCGACAGACTTTGAAAACCTAGTGTATGGATATGGACACGATGTGTGTATATACATGCATGCATGCATATGAACATACATGCATATATACTACTGACATCAGCATGCAGGATCAGATAAGAGAGAACAGGCTAATTCTCATACACAATGTTGATTTTGCACTTTGACGCTTAATTATAGAAAAACTTCTCTACTCATTCTGATTGCTCCTCTGTGGAAGAGTTCGGGATTGTTCAGTTTTGGATTCCCTACACCCCCCACCCCCTCAAATTTTTTTTTGGGGGGTGGGGGTGGGGGACATGATTGCACGAATGAGCAGATTAGGTCAAGCCTGTTATCAGGTTAATCACAGTTTCGAGAAGCCTTTTAAGCGGTAGAGCTTTTTCAGGGATATCCTATTAGCTTTCACAAGTGAACGGATTTGCAATAAAGAAACTAATTTAAAACATTATAGCATGCAACTCAAAATCACAGTTTTCAGAAAAAATTGAATCTATTGAATATGCATTAACGTGGGCAATCTCCTAACCAAATTTCTACCTATGGTTTGAAACATTAATGGAGAAGATGTAATGGAGAAGAAGTACTAATCAGCTCATGACAAATTAGAAGGAAAAAAAATAATGGACCAATTGATTCTTCATGATTTTTCTTGTCTAAATTATTGAAAGCTAGCTAGTGTAATATTAAAATTCTCTCACAATGCACTTGGTTATGAGCGTTTAAGGATAATTAATTTCACTCTTAACCAGATGATACAACAAATAAAACCTGATCTTTTAGAAGAAAGATATAAGAATATAGAAAGTGGGAAATGGAGGAGAGAGAAATTGTAGTGATTGTGGACTTCACTAAACATCTAATAAGTGGTAAATGTTTAAGTGGGGGTTTATATTAATATTAATATTATTTAATACATACAACTACCATACATAATGTCTTTTAAAATATATATATATAAAGCATGGAGCCCCTGCCTGCTCCCCCAGGCTCATCCCTGTGCTCCACCATCTTTATACCTTGGGTAAAAGGTTTGCAAAATCATCTAATAACTATGCATTTTCTAATGCCGACAGCTTCGGTACTCTGATAATTCTAAAACTTGCGGAGTACCACTGGCATACTTGTAAATAATTGCAACTTTTTTCTCAGTGCATTTGTGGGAACCGTGCATTTGTGGGAACCGTATTCACAGTTCCGATGGCATAAAACATATATGACATACACTCATGGGTGTATTCTTCAAAGCAATTTTTTATAACTGATTGGTGGACCCCACAACCTTGCTGTTGGGCTCCAAGTCCGTCGTCATTCCAGATTTCCAGACTTCACCATCACCTTGAACCTAACCACATCTATGCCGCCGTCAACCTCAATCATTAATGGATCATGTAAAGCAAATTCAGAGTTGGACACTAAAAATAAACTAGAGGAACACCTCGATAGAATTCAGTCTCAAGTTCCCAAGGGGAAATTTATTAAAAGAACAAAAATGAAAGGAAAAAGAAAAAAAAGAAGAGAAATTAGAAGAGATCCATTTTAATTTTCGAAGAGGATTGTGGTTTCTTTACTAATGTTGTGGTTTTCTTGAGAAGCACCGGATTGGGCATGGCGGCTACAATTCAGTTTCTGGAGGTAGCTTCAGTTTTACTCTTGTGGAGATTGAAGAGGTTAAATAACTGTTCTGCCCTTTACAATAGTAAATAAGTAACTCTTATTTTTAGAGTACTGAAGCATTACTCTTTTCTAATTGGTTTAGTTTTTAATATATTAGCCTATTGATGATCTAGTAGATCTACTGAATTTGTCAATATTATTATACTACGTGCTTTTTACTCCAAAATTTGGTTGCACAGCTTGTTTATTTCTGCTAACAAAGTATTGAAATTTGTAGTCATGAAATCCTTGTGCTGATATGAATAGATGGAGAATATTATTACAGAGCAATGGATTCAAATCAGACAACTTGAGCAATCACTTCAAATGATGAAGGTTCTTTATTTGTCCCACTTATAGAAGTGAGTTTAGAACTGCAGAGGCTAGTTATTAACCTCTTTAACTATTTACTTATTTCTTATAGATTATGAAATCAAATGTTCATAAGAAAAGTACAGCAAAGGCTCAGAAGGAAAGGCCTATCCTTTTTAGTGTTTTGAAGGTAAGTTATTGTACATTCATCTATTTGTTATGACATAATATCACATTCTTTCATTGGTTAAAAGCTCTTTAACACTTAAAATCCTGTCTTAAAGATGCACTATAAATCATCCTACAGCTAATGAGCTATGAATCAGCATGGCATTTTATATTCAATAATAATAGAGATCTCGTTATTTTGATTAGAGTGTTGAGCAGGAACAGTTCAAGAGTAGAAGATTTGCTACTGAGGAAATAATTACAAGTTTTGCATGTTAATTTATGCATGAAAATCACCTGTAGGAATTCGTAGCTGCTAGACTAAAAATTCACAGAATTGAGTCTGTTAGGAGATTTGTAGTCTCTATTTCATATGATTGGTTTTCTCTTGTGCAGTTTATGAAAGGTGTTCGCTATGGTTATCTTTCAGATGGTGGTGGACCTGACTTGGTTGATGCTTTCTTTCCTGGAAATTATATCTCAAAGTCTTTTATATCTCGAGCTATTGATCATCTTAAAAGAATGTGGTCAGCTATTAAAAAATGGCACCATGAGGTGTTAATCTTTTCCTTGTTTCTTATTAACATTAATTTATCTTCATTTCACTTTGCATTTTAGAAATATTATCATATTTAAGACCAAAAATTCCTAAGACATAAAAAACTAAACGTCCCACCCCTTTCTAACACCACCATACACTGACACCATACCTCAACCCAAAAGAAAAGGATAATCCATTGTTATTGAAGCCCTTAATTGTCCCTTGGGAGTATCTTGCAGAACCTTCTGCTATATAACTGTGCTATCTCCATGCTAATGAGTTTTCAGTCCCCTGAGAACCTTCTGCTTTGTAACTATCTCCATACTAATAACTTCGCAGTCCCCTTTGTTCCTTACGCATAACGCCGGATGGTTTCATGATCTTTAAATGTGAAATATCAAACATTAGTTTACTGGTCAGCAACAGACTTGATTTATCTTGCTGAATTCAAAATGCACTAAGCATGGGATTACCTTTTAAAAAAGTATTTCCACTAGACGGTATAACTTTTTTAACCTCTTTAATCCAGCTTCAAGGTTCAGTAAAATGGGCACTGGAGATGAATGAATTCACTGCTCCTCTTGCCAACAAGGAGGTCATCTTCTTTCTGGTATTCCCTTTGACTTGTATGCACATTCGTAGTTATGATGCCATCTACATTTCTATTTACCAAATTTTTCGTATAACCATTTTCCATTTCATTGTTTTATGAACCTCAGGCCTCTGTTCTAGTTGTGATGCCAATAATGAGCGCTTGGGGTCTGTTTTGTAACCTTTCAGAAAGCTGGACTGCTGACTGAATAATCTAAGTTCTACCCAAGATTTGAAAGAGTCGCTGTAAATTTAAATTGTATATGCTCACAAAATTCTCCTTATGGACATGTGTAGATTCCTCAGAAGCAACCGATCTTTTCCAAAAGGATTATTGTTCTTGTCCAAAATTGAAGTATTTATGACACTTCTATTCCTCCAGTGCTTTTGCTTCCGGGGTACTTATCCGCAAATAGAACATTAGCTTGAGGGCGCAGCTACTCGATCATGGCATGTTTACACAAAAGCTCACCACTCGCGAATTCTAACTTCTGTTAGATCCATCTATTTCGATATGTGGATGAGTTACTCTGATTCTCTGAATGTAATTGGTCCTTTGGTCCGGATTTTGGTTCTTACTATCTGTACTTGGTCAACACTATATATCTTGAACTTATCATCTACTTTCATTTGAGTGAAAGGCTTACTGATCTCTATTGCGAGGAAAAATGATTCCCTTAATACATGGCAAAAATTTACAGATGAGCAACGCTGTACAATACCCCTCTTACTTGAGAAGGATTAAATTTTTAGATCTGTATGTCCTACTTTAAGTGCCACTGCAATGCAGTGCTAGCATCTTTTGATGATCAAACTACCAAATGCTTCAAATTGCAGATACGAGACTTGTACTGTTAGTATTACTGTACCAGGTACTTTTATTCTTGCTGCTCGAGACTTGCTATTGCTCTATGCTATGGACAGCACAAGCATCGTGCGCCATTCAATCATGCATTTTGCCCACCACAGTCAATGCATCTCTCTTAGCCATTCACTACCATATACCTAGTGAACTAGTATCTTCCCCTTTCACATTAGAATGACTACCCTTCTATCTCATCTGTCCGCTTATATCTCAAAAGATTAGGCATCCCAATTGCAGTCATAAGATGCCTTCTCTTGTAAAACTGTAGGCAATAAAAATTGTCTTTACACAAAAGAGCTCAAATCTCGCCCATTAGAGCTCGCTTGCGTGCTCAAAGAAGGCAAAAGGCTGAGCAGAGCTCGCCTGCAAGTCAAAACTCGCCAACACGCTTTGCACGCCTGCAAGCCAAAGCTCGTCTGCATTGCTTAACTTGCCAGCACAAGTCAAGCTTGCCTGCATTCAAAAGGCCAAGCAGAGCTCGCCTGCAAGCCAAACCTCGCCAATCTCGCCTATTTGCTTGACTCGCTAGCACGAGTCAAGCTCACTTGATTATCGAGCTCGTCAGCACGAGCTCGACCTTGCCTGAACGCCTTCCTCGCCCGCATGAGTCAAGCCCGCATGCAGTAAGTTTGCCCGCACGAACTTAACTTGTCAATGAACGCCATCTCACACACTCGAGGGGCCCGCCAGCCGACCCCGCCTGTTCGCCAAACTCGCCTGCAAGCTCGTTTGAACGTTCAAACAGTTCTCAAGCTCGCCTGCAAAGCCTGTTAGCCTCGCTTGAACAGTGCGAGCGGCTGCTTGCTTGTGGGAGTGGGCCTACCCACTTTCCACGTCCTGGGAATGAGGCATGGCTCCCATCACCCTTATAGTGGTCACATTTCATAGCTATAGGGGGAGTAGCATCCTTACTCTTATTAGTGGTCACATCCCTGTAGGCAATAAAAATTGCCTTTACACAAGAGAGCTCAAACCTCGCCCATTAGAGCTCGCCTGCGTGTTCAAAGCATGCAGGGCTTGTTTGCGTACTCAAACCAAGCAAGAGGCCAAGCCAAGTCGCCTGCAAGCCAAAGCTTGCTTGTTTGTTTGGCTCTCCTGCACGTGCCTGACCTCGCCAAACCTCGTCAACCTCGTCTGTTTGCTTGACTCGCCAGCACGAGTCAAGATCGCCTGATTATCGAGCTCGCCAGCACGAGCTCGACCTCGCTTGAACGCCTTGCTCGCCCGCATAAGTCAAGCTTGCCTGCAGTGAGTTCACCTGCACGAACCCAGCTTGCCAACGAACGCCAGCTCACAAGCTCAAGGGGCCCGCCAGCTGACTCTGCCTGTTCGCCAAGCTCGCTTACAAGCTTGCTTGAACGTTCAAGCAGCTTTCAAGCTCACCTACAAGCCTGTCAGTCTCGCCTGAACAGTGCAAGTGGCTGCTTGCTTGTGGGAGTGAGTCTACCCACTTCCCACGTCTTGGGTAATGAGGCATGGCTCCTATCACCCCTATAATGGTCACATCCCATAGCTATAGGGGGAGTATGCTACTCCTTACTCCTATTAGTGATCATATCCCACAAATCAACGGATGGCCCATGTTATCCCTTGCTTATTTATAGGACCACTTTGCCAACATGAAAGAGGTCCAGAAGGTTCAGCATCTGGGAAGTTTGGGCAGTCTTGCTGCTGGTAATATTCTTCAAGAAAGCTTAGCATCTCTGAGGCTCTTCAAACAGAGGCTCTCTCATTAGCTTGCTTGGTAGAACTCTCTTAGATTTTTGCTTGGATTGTTGAAGTAGACTCAATCTGAACTCTCAGATTTGAGACTCTTGGCTCTTTACAAGCTCTTGCATATTAGCCTTCTCCAAGCATTCGATCTTGATACTCATCAAGCTTGGGTATATTCGAACTCAATCACCCCGGAGCTTCTACTTCGTACTGAAGCTCAACCGTAACTTCGCTCGGATCGTCCAAGGGAAGCAAACTCGACATAAGCATCGAGGGAGGCGTTCTATCGCTACCGAAGAACCCACGTTAAATAAGGAGAATCTTCTCTCCGCTTCTGTTGTAAATCTTGGATTTCATTGATTTGTAACAAACATTCAACTAATACAAATCTCACATCGAGACCCAACTTTTATTCCCCTACAGAAGATGGCGACCACAGTGGGAGTAAAAGTTGGGTCTCAATGCGAGATTTGTATTGGTTGAATGTTTGTTACAAATCAATGAAATCCAAGATTTACAACCGAAGCGGAGAGAAGGTTCTCCTTTTTTAACGTGGGTTCATTGATAGCTATAGGATGCCTCTCTTGATGCTTGTGTCAAGTTTGTTTCCCTTGGACGATCAAATCGAAGTTACGGTTGAGCTTCAGTACGCAGTAGAAGCTCCGGGGTGATTAAATTCGAATATACCCAAGCTATGGGATGTGACCACTATAGGGGTGATGGGAGCCATGCCTCATTACCCATGTGGGAAGTGGGTAGGCCCACTCCCACAAGCAATCAACCACTTACATTGTTCAGGCGAAACTGACAGGCTTGTAGGCGAGCTTGAAAGCTACTTGAACGTTCAAGCAAGCTTGCAGGCGAGCTTGGTAACAGGTGGGGTCGGCTGGCGGGCCCTTCGAGCGTGTGAGCTGGCGTTCGTTGGCAAGCTTGGTTCGTGCAGCGAACTCACTGCAGACGAGCAAGGCGTTTGTAGGCATAAAAAATGCCGAGATTCCAAAGGTGAAAAGAAGGGTCAGGGAGACAAACCCCTTTCCAATCAGAAACGAGGTTCGTTGTTTAGAAAAGATCAACCTCGAGAACGAGAGTTGCCATGCAGCAGAACTCAACATCGAAGGATAAAGTTCATTATTGAACGAAGCGGATCTACGAGACTCGGAGCTCGTCATTGGACATGAGGTTCGAGGTTCGCTAGTGAATACAAGACTCGGAGCTCGTCATTGGATACGAGGTTCGAGGGTCAATGAGGTTCGAGGTTCGCTAGTGAATACAAGACTCGGAGCTCGTCATTGGATACGAGGTTCGAGGGTCACTAGTAGATATAGGGTTTGAAGCTCGTCATTGGACATGAGTTGGACTCTAGCTGTCAAATATGAAGCTCGTTATTGAATACGAGGTTCGAATCTCGTCATTGGATACGAGGTTCGGAATTCATCATTGGAGGTGAAGTTCATCAATGAAAACAAAGTTTGTCATCAGACTTAAGGCTCGTCAGTAAAGACGAAGCTCATTATCAAAGAAGCTCATCAGACTTAAGGCTCGTCAGTAAAGACGAAGCTCATTATCAAAGAAGCTCACGAGGCTCGCCACGCAGCGAGGCTCGACATCAAACACGAGGTTCGCCAACGCAGGGAAGTTCGTCACCCACATTAAATCAGGCTATAACTGCTACGGAGACCCAGTCAGCCACGTGGGCTAAATCCAAGGAGTCAGTTACGCCCACGATTCCATGATTGTAGCACATCAGTTACGTGCTCAAACCTTATAAATAGCCACGGATGGCTACAGAGAAAAGGGTTGGTTGGTTAATTGAGACTTTTAATCATCAGAAATCAGAGCTTTTGTGTGTAAGTCCGGAGATCGAACCTCAATTCCAGCCGGCTAACAAAGGTCAGAAGCTCTTGTGATCTTGTTCTGATCGTCAACGGGAGGCAAGCTCAACTCAAGCATCGGGGGAAGCATTCTTTCGCTACCTAGAACCCACCTAAAACAAAAGAGAAGCCGAATTAATCTTCTCTTCCTCTGTAATCGAGAGAGAGTGTGAGTGATTGTAAGGGTTTCGTACCAAGTGATCGAACCTATTTCTTAAAACAAGAATATCAATCCCAACATGAATTTTTCGACACTACAGACGATGGCGACCACAGTGGGAGCAGCTATTCTCTCCGATGAGATGGTGGTGGCGTAGTCAGACAAGATTGCAATGGGAACGGACGTCGAAACTCTGGTCATCAAATTTGACCAGTCCAAATAAGAGGAGTACCTCTCCTCTGGTAAGTCTAGTCCCATGAAGGCACGAAAGTGTCGTCGAGTCTCGTATGAGACTTCAGCCCAAGTGGCTTCTGATGATTCAACTCGAGTTAGTCTCGAGGAAAAGTCCAAGCCCCTCAAAGAGGAGGCTCCAGAAACCCGAATTTCGGCTTCTACTAGCCAAATTATGGCTTTGGATGACGAACCTCGCTCAGTTCTCACTGAAGCAAAGGTTTCCGTTATTCCATTGTCGAGACGTGCTCGACAACGTCAGCGTCAGAACCAAGCTCGCCGCAGGGCTCGAGCTTTGGTCTCGCTAGACGGTTTTCATTATCGATCGAAGGTTAATCAACCTAAGGTCAACAAGTCTGACGAGGGTCAAGTGAATGAGGAACGTTCGAAAGACAGACCTCATCTTCGTACCCTAGTAGACTCAGAGCATGAACCTCGTCCTCAAAAAGAGGTTCAACAAAATCAACAAGCAGTTCATACCGAGGTTCATCAAGAAAACGAACCTCAAGTTAAGAACCGACCGAGAAGACGAACTCGCCAAACTCGTCCTATCAACGAACCTCGTCATGCAAATGACGGAGTTTGTCAACTTACTCAAGGCCGTCAACCTCTATCATTTAGAGGGTCTCGCTCGGGTAAAACCAAGATGATGGAGTCGACTGGGGGTTGTCCAACTGGTGACCTTCGGGATTATCTCACGCGCAAGCGCAACATGAACAAAATGCAATCGCATTGCTGCTGTGAGAAGCTCATATCTGCGGTGCTTTCCCAATGTCCATGTGGGGAGTCGATGCATAAATCTTCAGTCTTCGAACGATTGACTAAAATGCCAATGGCCTCATCATCAAGAAGAGGACGTTTTCAT